GAAAGTGGGAATGTACCCCCCCGTTCCCCCCTCTAGTATAGCACCGAGTCTTACCGTAAAGCACATCCTAGTCGCAAAAATCCGCATGACGGTCCACAGCACTGCCAGCAACACCAGCAACACGATGTCCACGTTCTCGTATCGGCCATTCGTCGAAACGTCGTCCACCCATTTCGTCACCCAGTTGACGTTACAATCGTGCGTGTCGTAGTACTCCGTCCAAGACCAGTAGGTTTTTACTGCAAACTCCGCGTATCCCGGCATCGGTTCCACCGGTTCCTCTACCGCCATCTTACCGCTTACTGTACCTATTTATTTACACAGTCACACACACACACACGATACACCGACGACACACGACCTCTGAAGATTCAAGCCGATCTCTGACACTGTAGCAGGCGACTCGCACGCAAGACAACCGACATAAACACGCGCATCCGTCGTTATCCGGCAGTGCCGGGTGCTTATATACGCTTAATCACGCACGCGGCACACGCGGTAGTTCCATTTGATCTATGATTTGATGCAACGTAAACTGAGACGCGCGTAACAGTGCCGTCTATCGGTATTGACTGTCGCTTGAAATGACTGTAGATTCGCCGCACCCATCAGCGCGTGGCAATCCCAGTGGTACAAGCTATGCGAACGACTCATCGGCCACTCCCTGCGCGTTGAAATCGTATTGCGATAGTGACACCTAGTGGTAGATTATGCAGCCTAATGTGACTATAACCAAAGTCAATCATTATAAGCTCTTTGCTATAACTAGGAGTAAATAATATTAGGGGTACGTGAATGAGAGATTCTCTCGATCATTCACATGCTATTGATAATATCAGAGATGAATAAAAGCACATTGTTTTCATAACACCATTTATTACTTTTAATGAAGACAATTAATTTTGTTTTCACTTAATCTTGATAATATGGCTGGGAACTATTATAGCATTATTCTACATATATGCATATATTTATACGTAAAGAAATGCATAAAAACAAATTAATACATATACGTAGACATGTATGGAGACGTTCATAATATAATTTATTACCACACAGTTACTGACTTCTTACCTGGAATAACTAGCTAGACCCTGTTCCAACACACTGATACCCCTTTTATACTGGGGGTTATCCCGCTTCAGGTCCGGACCTGAAGCGGGATAACCCCCAGTATAAAAAGTCGAAAAATACTTAGCCCGAGCTAAAGTTATTCCGCTCTAGGAGGTGGTTCAGGTCCGCTTCAGACCAGTAACTCTCGTATAAAAGGTATTCGACTTTAGCTCGCTCTAATTCAGATGACCATGACAAATACGCCGGTCTCGCACGCAGCTCGAGTGGTCGAGAACGGCAGTATAAAACTAGTAGGTCTCAGGGGAGAGATAGTGAATACAGAAATAAGTTGTGGATATAGAAATCAGTTAACCCTACCCCTAACCTCACCAACGCCTACCTAACCCTAACCCTAACCCTAACCCTAACCCTAATCCTAACCCTAACCCTAACCCTAACCATATCCCTAATTCTAAAATAAAACAAAATTAGCTAAAAATAATAATAAATAAAATAAATCAAAGACAAAATTAGCCAATCAAAGCCGTCCCCTAGCGGATCACTATCTCTCCCTTGTGCAAAATTCGTATAAATCGACTTATCCCGAGCTAAAGTTATCCCGCTGCAGAAGCGGGCTAAAGTCGTGCGCAGTATAAAAGGGGTATCAAAACCTTAGAAAATAGGCGATGAGCCCTAGGTTCGATCTCCACTATACTGCCCTCTGATATAATGTGAGAATGAGTGATGGAACGACCTTTTCATTTTTAAACACGAGGGATCGCAAATTTAGCGGCAATCTATGAAAAGTCTCATGGGTTTAATTAGAGTATACCCGTGAACCCACAGTTGCTATAGTGGGAGTGTCGACCTTCCAGTGCAATTGGTACGCAATGAAGGCCCCACCCCGGCCTCCCCGGCTGCGTCGTAACTTAATTACGCACATTTCTGGAAGCAGGCCAAATTTCGTGACTTTTGTGCGTAACGACGATGAAGGCGCGCAGCGCCCTACCGGTATTCAAGGTGGCGGTATGATGATTTAGATCGAGTTAGTTTCGTGTATGAGAAGCTGATTTTGTTTCCCCAATGTTTAGGGGTGCCAGATTTTGTATTGTTCACCGAAGCTACGGTCCATACATTTCTACTTGCATTAAAAATATTATTAAGAGTGAATAAAAACAATTATTTGATGATACATGATTGATTTACTCCTGATATAATAGTATGATTATGTATGATATTCAATACACGGGAAACTGTTTTTCCGCAATGTACGACAAAATAGTTCGCCCTGGAAACGTTCCAGTGTATCAGATATGACCCCATACACCTATCGGTATGTTTATCCGCTAGGTTGAACGCTCTGGAATTAGTGCAGTCCACTTTTAGAGGGATTTAGCTTTCGAAACGCATTGACAGCGATGAACAACTATATCAAGATATATATATATATATAAAACTGTATAATATCAAACTATATATAGATTACACATGCTCTTGTGATTAAAATACTTGCATATAAATAAACGCCCAACAGAAAGCTGTTACACGATTCCTGTATTCTGGACAAAAATCCAATGCTTTTTACTCGAAAAAGTTTGTGAAATATATACAGTATACTGGCGAGTATTATGATGATGACAGTTTGTTCACGCCACCTTTTCAATCATACACAAGTGGCGTACATATTTAGAACCACGTAGCTCAGTGCAATATCATGTCATGTCAAACACGTTTTCTACGCGCCACTGGTTGTTGTTGTTGTTGTTGTTTACTGCACACCTGCTTGTTTGTGGATTAAGTAAATTATTTAGACTTAAGCATATGCAATCAGAGCAAGTATTCGAACATAATACAACAAAACTAGTATATATCACCGCAATTAGCTTAGCGTGCTGTCAAAGATCGTATAAAAATGTGTCTCACGAGATCTATTGCTTTTTTCTGACAACAGGTGTCGCCTCTAGGCTTGATTGGCGCGAATTTGCCATTACAGATGTTAAATCAAGATGGTGGTGAGTAACGTTTGTTGTTCGTATCCTGTTAGCTGTTTATTATTTAATTCTTGCCTGTTCACATTGTAACTCGGGTTGATTGGACGTTCGTGAAAGATATAAAAGTAATTTGAATCTCCGTGATATGACAAATTACGTGTATGTAAATTTGTTGTGGTCACGATAGCATCATCTTCATGTCATTCATGATCATTGATTTCGGATTGGACGCGGTCTACGGTTTGGTTGGCGGTGAATGCCAGTGCCTAACTTAAATATTACTTAATAACTATACACTATATACTTAAGAACTAATATTAATTAATTAATATTATATCAGTATTTAATATAATAGTAGGTATTACTTACTAATAATGGTTGCGAGTAGTTTAATACTAAAGTAAGGCAGTGATGCGAGGACAGGTATATATTTCCTAGCTGTAGCCTACTTGAAGTTGAGCCGTATCGAATACTCCGTTACTCCTGACTTATGTCAGCATGCCTGTTTTTGGTAAATTATTAGTTCAAGTTGAATTCTGAATTGCAAACCATCAGTGCATTTGAAAATTTTAACTAAGACTAAGAGAACCTCACTGTGTGAGTCACGGACAATCGGATCTGCTCGCTACTATATATTGCAATATTCTCCATGTCTAGTTAGATACAATAATGTAACCCAAACACAACCTATCCTGTGTTTGGGTTAAATTATTGTATCTACATGTCTAGTGTAATCGTTTGGCAAGTACGACTTAAGGCCAAGACACACTGCAGCGACAGCGACCGACCGTAACGACAAACGACTCCAATCAGAAGGCGCTAAATTCTTCGCTATGTTATACCGTTTGGGAAAAAAAATTTCGCGGGCGGGCGGCGTCTATTTTTTCCGTACCGCAAATGCGTAAACGTCCTACACGGGTTCCTCTGATTGGCTGCTTTAATTTGCTTTGACGCAACAAACCTTCAAAACAATAGAACAAACGCCCATTTGTAAATATTATATTTGTTTTAGTTCATCATCAGTAGATAAGTAAGTTTTCTGATGTATTTTTTTATGAAAAATACACATTTTACTCATTAATATAAAATATAATATCACTATAATTACAATTCTGTGTGTAACTGTGTTATTTTCATCTTAATCTCAAGTTATGAGAGGGTTTAGGCTCTCGTAACACTTACTACATACTTACGTATACGTACTCGTACTATAGTATAGAGTAGCCCTTCGCTCTGTCGCAGGAGTAAAGATAGATACAATAATGTAACCCAACAACAATTAACAATTTAATTTTGATTAACTGATCATTATTTCTTACCCTCTTCATTAATTCAAGTGAAACCCGCCACCAATTCATATATGTTGGTGACATTATAGCCTTTAAAACTATACACTACTCAGAATATTACACTAGTCTTAATTATTATTCATGATATGGGGTCATCGCACGAAAACGAGGCTAAGCTAGGCAATTTTGTAAACAATTGCTGCTCAGGCAGGCACGCACAGAGGGGGTACACGCACGTACACGCAGGTACACGCATGTACACGCAGATACACGCACGTACACGCGGGTACACGCACGTACACGCGGGTACACGCACGTACACGCAGGTACACGCACGTACACGCAGATACACGCACGTACACGCAGATACACGCACGTACACGTACACGCAGATACACGCACGTACACGCGGGTACACGCACGTACACGCGGGTACACGCACGTACACGCAGGTACACGCACGTACACGCAGATACCACGTACACATGGTGGATAAATGGATGGATGGATGGATGGATGGATGGACGGATGGATGGACGGACGGACGGACGGACGGACGGACGGACGGACGGACGGATGGACGGACGGGTGGATGGATGGATGGACGGATGGATGGATGGAACGATGGTTGGACGGACGGATGGACGGATAGATGGATGGAACGATGGTTGGAAGGACGGACGGACGGACAGATGGATGAATAAATTGATTAGTAACAAGGCAGCTCGTCCGTGCATCTCCCTCGTGCGCTCCCTCTAGCGTCTCTCGCCACCCTTCATGCGCGCCCTCTAGCGTCTCTCGCCACCCTTCATGCGCGCCCTCTAGCGTCTCTCGCCACCCTTCATGCGCTCCCTCTAGCGTCTCTCACCACCCCTCATGCGCGCCCTCTAGCGTCTCTTGCCATGCCTCCCGCTGCTGCGTATCTGCTCGTTGCGTAGTGAACAGCTGAATTATCGTGAATACGGGAGTATCTACTCCGCACAGAAATTAACATCGAATTATGTCGCCACGCCGCCATGCATTACCATGGCAACGGCGCTGCAGTGATGCGTCCCAGGCTAGCAGGCGATCGACTGGTCCGACAATGTGCGCCCGAGCACACGCATAAGCACAGACGCACGCACGCACGCACGCACGCCCATACGTGCGCTGAGACAGACAGACAGCAGAGTGCTGCTGCTGCTGCTGCTGCTGCTACTACTACTACGTCGCAAACAACGGCACATGTGTACGCGTATTGTTTACAGGAGGCCGTATAATTTCTTACAATCCTGCCTGTGCGTGCATGTCTGTGTGCGTGCATGTCTGTGTGCATGCGTGCGTGCGTGCGTGCGTGCGTGCATGGCCGACAGCGATCGATGATGTTGTCAGCAAAGTAAAAATCGAAGCGTCGCTTGGCATCATTTTTTTCCTATGACCTCGTTTTTTTTAAACTGCACTGTGCACAATTTAAAAGCAGCTGCAACAACCGTGGTACCCGCACCAGCACCACGGTCACCGCTGCCACCGCCATATTCACCGTCATCATCATTCTCATCATCATCATCATCATCATCATCATCATTCTCATCATCATCATCATCACCGTCATCATCATCAAAATCACCGTCATCATCATCATCATCATCATCATCATCATCATCATCATCATCCTCATCATCATCATCACCATATTAATCCTCGTTGTCATCATCGTTATCGTAGCCTCGTTAACTGACTATCCGCGCGCGCGCCCGGGCGATGATCCGGATGTAGATGGGGCCTCCTTCGCCCCGCAGCAGCCACGAGCTGAGTTCTCACCGATAGACGTCACCACCGTGTGTGTCTCTTACTGTGTTCTATTCAGCATGCTTCATACTCAGCTACCTGCTGTGTGTGCGCCTACCGAGCTGCTCATTGTATGTAATGTGTTAGAGTCGACGGTGGTGGTGGAGAGTGTGTGTGTGTGTGTGTGTGTGTGTGTGTGAGCGCGCGCGCGGGCGCGTGCGTGTGTGCGTGCGTGCGGGTGCGGTGCGGGTGCGGGTGCGCGCGCGCGTGGGTGTGTGTATATGCGTGTGCGTGTGCGTGTGCGCGTGCATGTGCGCGTGCGTGTGTGCGTGTGTGTGTTGTGTACGAGCGTGGCTATGGCTGAGTGTATAGCGGCAGATGCGCGTATGTATGTATGTATGCTCGCGGTGTTTGCTCGCGAGGTTTATTGCGTTTCTAGCTCTCCAATAAATTAATCGCTTTGCGGGGGAAACATTTTGGGCGTGTAGACGGCGCGGGGATGCAGCTCGTGTTTGTGCTTGCCCACCGTAAGCGGGGGTAATGGAAGAGAAGGAGAAAGGGAGGAGGAGGAACATTAGAAGGAATAGGTGGAGACATCCAGAGTGGAAATGAGAACGGGAAAATGTAGAAAAGAGAGAGAGAAAAAAAAAGTGGGCGTGTGTGTGTGTGAGAGAGAGGGGGGGGGAAATTAGAGATAATATGAGGATAGAAAGAGAGGGGGAGAGGGGTAGACTAAGCGAGGGAGAGGGAAGGCGAGCACGTTTGTTCAAACTCGCGCTCTCACTGTCTTCGCTCTCACTATTTTCTGTCATCATGGTTTCTCTCGCATCATTCTATCACTCTCGCTGGCTCTCACCTCACTCTCACCTCCCACAACGGTCATCTTAGGACCAGCATCCCAGCATAGATTCATAGAGCGGCCACTAGAGGTCTCTCGCCCTACCGTGTGTGGCGATAAATACAAACCATACAATCGATAGAATAACTCTGTTTCACTAACGGAGTGTACATACAGCATCAGCCGAGCAAGGGGAAGGGCTGCTGTCATAGAAAGCTAGGCGAAGGCGAATAAGAGAGAGAGAGAGAGGGCGAGAGAGAGAGAGAGAGATGGAGATGGAGAGAGAGAGAGAGAGATGGAGAAATAACAAATGATAGGGAATGAGTGTGCCTGCACATATACCACGATACATGATAGCATCAGCAGCAGCAGTAGTAGCAGCATCCAGCGACACTTTACAAATAGCCAATCGCAGCCGTTTCCATCGGCACGTGACATTACGATTACGTCATAAATAACCCATAATGCTAGCCAAGACGTAGACTGGTCTCCGGCGCTAAACTCGCGACGCATGTCACAAACAATGGGCTGCGTATATTTTACTTTATTATTTTATCAGATTATCCTTATGCCTAGAGAGTTTTTGCAGTCTGTTATTATTTAAAAGCAGCAGCATGAGTTTTGGCCATTTGTTCATGTTATGATGTGTACCACTGTGTGACTGCTGGGTGAACTTTGACCTAACGTCGTCGCCGTCACTGCAGTGTATTTGCGCCAGTCGCGGCGCTTTTGTTGTTTGTCGGTCGCTGTCGCTGCAGTGTGTCTTGGCCTTTTTCTAGCAACAATTGATTAAAGTATGATAAATTGGCCTGTTGCCATTAGCTTTGTGTTGGCAAGGTTTACCTACACGTGGCCATTATACTGTGATATACACGAATCGGTGTTACTTTTGAATTTAGGATCCATGTAATTATTTCTCAAACATAATATTGTGGTGTTATACCTTATCATACCGTTTTCGTCATTTATAGTCCAATGTGAGATTGGGAAGGATGTGACGTGCTTTATCAGTTGTTGTGTCTGCAAAATATACTAAATTCTGATATAAAGATATCAGAAGAGGAATAAATTTCAGGTTACAGAGGCTTTCACTACGCAGCTGTTGAAAACAGTAACAGTTGTACAAT